TTGCCACTTTTGAGAGCAGCGTGGGATAAGGTCCCTAGAGCAGATCAAGCCAGAAACCTCCCTGGAAGTCAAGATGACAAGACTTAGGGGGGTTGCAGACTGCCAGAAATAGTGAAAATTGAGTTAGGGTTAGGGATAGTGCTAAGAAATCATGGGAATTGTTTTTTGTTTTTTTTCCTGGGACATTGGACCTTCTCTGTCAGAGAGCTCTGGTGCCACAATAAAATACAATTCCCATGATTCCCTAGCACTAACCCTAACCCTAAAAGCAGTCTGCAGCCCCCCTTAGACTGTCGTACTTTGGACACATCATGAGAAGGAAGGACTCATTGGAAAAGATAATAATGCTGGGAAAGTTAGAGGGAAGTAGGAAGAGAGGAAGGCCACATGCCAGATGGATGGACTCTATGAAGGAGGTCACTTTGGGTATGAAGGGGTTGCAGGAATTCAGCAGAGCAGTGGAGGACAGAGGGTCATCTTGGAGATGTTTCATCCATACGGCTGCCATGAGTCCAAGATCAACTCAAGTACAGTTAACAACAACATAGGCAAACTTTTATTCCCCCTCCATGTATGATGGTTTTATAGGAATGGGACATTCTCAGTCCAAAAGTCCTCAGATTTGCACCACCACATACAAGGTGGTTTTCTTTTTTCTTCACAACTTGTAATAAGGGGCACTGGCATTGTAGATATAATGCAGTTTGACACCACTGTAACTGCCCTGGCTCCATCCTACAGAAATCCTGGGATCTGTAGTTTTGTAAGACTGCTGGTGTCTTACAAAACTACAGATCCCAGGATTTCTGTAGGATGGAGCTAGGGCAGTTATAGTGGTGTCAAACTGTATTATATCTACAGTGTCGGCAGAGAAGGCTAAAGACCTTGTAAAACTACAAACCTCAGGATTCCACAGGATGGAGTTTCAGCATTTCCAACTGCATTTGTTCTGCAGTGTAGATGCACTCTTGAGAAAGAAGTTTGCAGCCTAATGTCCTAAACACCCTGCAGAAATAATCCAGTTTGAAACCGCTTGGTTCAGTACTACTAGGGAATCCTGGGAGCCATAGTTTTGTAAGACATTTAGCCTTCTCTGTCTGAGAGTGCTGGTGCCAGGAGGGTTTCCAAAAATGCCCTCCCTTTTGGGCAGGACTAAGAAGCCTACATTTATATTTATATGAGTGGTTTAGCTTTTATTTGGCAATGTCCTCCATTTACCTCAAATGTCCTACATTTTACGGTGCCACATCCTCCTTTGTGGTTAGGACATCTGGTTCCCCTGTATGATGCCGAATTACACCTGAGCTACACTTGTAAATTGGGGAAACACTTTAGGAATCTGGTGAGTTGGGATCAGTCTATAGAAATCCATGCCGCAGTTGACAGCAAAAAGAGTCTAGTGGCACCTTAAAGACGAGCCATTTTTATTGGCATTAGCTTTCACAAGATTGTAGCCTACTTTTTGAGGTGCATGGAGGCTTACCTCACTTGGCAGATTCCTCACTATTGGCCATATTGGTTAGGGGTGCTGGGAATAGTAGTTCAACAACATCTGGAAGGCCAGATCATTTCCAGCCCTGATCTACAGAGCCTCACAATTCTTAACCCCAGGACAGTGGGCCCTTGGTATCTGCTGGGACTTGGTTCCAGAACCACCACCCCTGTAGATACCAAAATCCATGATACTCAAGTACTATTCAATACAATGGCATAGTAAAATGGTATATAAAATAGCAACATCAATGCTTGCCTTTTTTCAATTTATACCTTTCTGTGAAGAGCGCTGAGTGTATATGGGTACCATTTTGTCCTTAGCTAGCAAAAAATCTTAGGCCAAATCCACTCCTTGTATGGGCTCTACATGTGCCCTGCAAGCAACAGTCTGGTGATGCTTCTATAAAAGCTCTACTGCAGTTCTCTGTACTAGGCAGAAACTCAACAAGATAAAACATTTTCTGCCACTGTACATAGAGAGCCAGTCTGGTGTAGTGGTTTGAGTGTTGGTCTACGACTCTTGAAGACCAGGGTTCAAATCCCAGCTCAGGCATGTAACCCACTGGGAGACCTTGGGCAAGTCACACTCTCTCAGCCTCAGAGGATGGCAATGGCGAACCCCTCTGAAGAAACTTGCCAAGAAAAACCCATGATAAGTTCACCTTAGGGTCACCACAAGTCAGAAATAACTTGAAGGCACACAACACTGTACATACAGGAAAAATGCTGAAATATTGTTCTGTGATCCATTTTCTTCATTTTTAACAGGGATGGAATCAGTTAAAAAAAATCCCAACAATTTGGTTAGTTTCTCTGTTTTGTATTATAGAAACAAAGCATAATGAGTAAGCAGCAGAGAAAACTACATTACATGGACAATTGGTAGGAAGGTGACCAGATGCAAGAGGACTCAATTCCTATAATTTAACAGTTGTGAAGAAGAGGAGCTCCATCTTCTTCATATGGCCACCGCACATGGTAACCTCTTATTTTTATGGTAGCCCCTCAAAACACTGTAGAAATGTAGAATATGCTAAATCCAATTGTGAGCCATAGGGAGAATAGATTCACTAAATAAATTGGAACTTGGTGAGTCAACTATTATATGAAGCACACTGATATAGTTGATAAGCCCATTGGGTGACCTTGCACAAGTCACATGCTCTTAGCCTCCAGGGAAGGCAATGGCAACTCTCCTCTGGACTGGAAACAAAGCTTTCCAAAGTCCAGGTGACAAAATTTGAATTCCATTAGCAATACAAAAAGGTGCTTCCTCTGAGATCCAGGATGTCTCTGTGCCTTGTAAGGTCAACCCTCCCCTCTCTTATGCAGAACATTGAATCTCACAAGAGAAGCCTCTGTGCTTTTGGATTAGAAACATTTTAGGTCCTCTTTTCATAAAACATGCCAAATGTAGTCCCATTTAAAAGAAGAAGTTTTACCTTTGTTGGAGGTGGAAACCTCAAATAGTAAAGTCCTAGTCCATCGGCCTCCTCTTTAGGATTTCCCTGTAGCTGCTAAAATGTGGTGTCTTCACATCCAGGAATATGTTTTTTTTATTTTTCTTCTGTATGATTTTTAACACTCTTGCCTATAAATGTATCACTGTTTTGTGGATTTTGAATTTATTATACTTTGCTATATGGCCAGTGTGGCTACCCCTGACTATATTTCTTGGGATACTGTGGTGGTTCTATATACAATTATCTGGATTAATGTGTTATCACACACAATAATTTCATAAATCAACATGAATTTATTAAATATTACGGTACATATCTATCTTACATATCAATCATAGTTGCCTCTATTATGTTTTGCCTATGCAAATTATTCTGACTAGATTTCTGATTTATCAGGATTATGATTTGCACATGATACTACTGTAGATAATGGGCTGAACCCAGATTTACGGTACTCACATTTAGAGTTGAGGGATGGATCCAATCTAATTTATTCTTAGACATTTTTTTAAAAAAATGTTCTGTATTTGTTTGTTAAAATATTATTTTTAATTATGATACTAGTAATAATTGCAGCAGTGAGTTATTTCCAAGTAGTCTGACAAGTAACAATGAGATTGTGGTGAAATAGAAAACAGTGGATTTGTAAATGGAAAAATACCATTTTGTTTTGAAAATTCATCTCGAGTATGAATAGAAGCAATCTAGGATTCAATTATCATGCATCCACTGAAGCCCCCCAAGTGACATGCCATGATGTCTATCCAGATTACTAACACTAACAAAGCAAGGTCTGGCTTTGCAATCATGGCCATTGACTGTTTTGCCATCTTTCATCTGTGTTCAAGTCCTATATCCTATTTCAGTGTTAAGATCGATCAACGCTTGTCTAGCAGTTCCTTATCCATAGTTTTGTCTTACCTTGTTCCACTCAGAATTATTTAATCAAACAAATGATCTTAATGGTTTGGATCCAGACATGTACAGAGGAAGACATTTGCAGGAGACTATGAGACATTGTGCTAAGGCTTTGAATGCAAAATCCTGCAGAAATTGATGCTCTCTTTTCCATGTTAGGTTTAAATGGGATATAGAGTCAATGTTAAAATGTTGAA